ATAGTCATCTAGCCTTGTGAGGAGTGGCCTTCTCAAAGCCAGCATCTATTATGTCTGAGTTGTAGAGCACCTCATGAGTTGAAATGGTGAGAATACTCAAGTAGAGTTGTGCTGTAAACTATCATAGCTAGCATGAATTGGATAGCATGCGAAAAGCCAACATTCACCCACGGCCTACCATCTAACATGTTATTTCAGTCAATGTGCGTCTCGTCCGCAAATAGCAGCAGCTCGACTCTGTGATTTTTCCCTGACATGTTCCCCCGGGCTGATTTACGCTTGCATTCATCATACGCTAAACAAAAATAAACCGGCAACATTAGCTCTCAATTTTGATGAGCTTAAACACAAAGATCTAAGACTTTGTCTATGTACACAAAAATACTATTTCTCTCAAATAGTGTTGGCATGCTGACTGCAAAAATGTCCACCAGAGTTGTTGCCCATGAATGAAATATTCATTTCTCTCTGGTAAGCCTTGTCCAAAGCCGTTTCGAGAATTTCTCCTACTAGCCTCATAACAGCGGACCACACCAGCCCGCCACCTGTCAAATCTTGAGAGCTTGAAGACTCGGCAAAGAAAAAGTGCTCACTATCACAAATTTTGTGATCAATATTTGAGAAAAATACACTTTTTGTGCTCATTAGATTACATGACATTCTATTATTTTACATTAGAAAAGCTTTATTTGTCCCACGGTGGGGAAATCTGCATTATTTCCGCAAAATATTTCAAGGCACTGGTCTGCTGGTACATATTCCTACATATGCACTCACACAGATTGTCTACATTTGGCGGTTTACGTGGGCGATGCCTGTGGGCAATGCCTCTGCGTCAAGTATTTACACGACAGTTTCCATCTGCCTTTTTTTCTGACTGTGGTTGTCATGTTTTTCTCGATTTCACACCGTCTTCTCCACTTTTATTTTGCCGTCCCTTATTTTGCCGTCCCTTGTCATGTCCAAGGATTGTCTCAATAACCCCAAGTAATTACTGTTCTCTTTTCAAAGGACAATTTTTTTTTTTTCCCCCAAGTGAGATCACTTTTTTGCGCTTGAGTATTGAGGTTTAGAAACACCAAACATGTTTGTCCTTTCTGGGGACCGATATGATTTTAGGTTCAAGCTGTGTCATGTGAAAGCAAAACCAGACCATGTTGATTCATTTCAGCATGCTGAAGGGAGGGGGTGGCGGGAATCCAAAATCAAAATATCCACTCGTGATTTTTACTCATTTATTTATTTGCAGGATGATTCAAGATCATTTTATATGCAAAATATTCATCTTATCTTTTAACCTTTTCATGCACCAATCACAATAACATGATGAGCTGTCCACCGCAGTAACCGCTGTCCCTGAAAGGGTTAATATCATCATAATAGCTTTATTGACTTTATTTTATTCCGATAACAAACCCTCAACAACCAAGCCGTGAAGTAATGCTTAAGAGACATTTGAAACAGTGAGTCCAGGCTATAGATAACACCATGTTTCTATCACATGTGCGGCGTGTTACCATATAAGACAGCAATATGACTCACCCCTACTCACTGACCTACTATGTGGGAAGTCATGATTCATGCAAGCTGCATTTAAGCAGGCAGGGGCCTAAAATAATCTTGAATGTCGTCATATGAACACACACACACACACACACACACACACACACACACACACACACACACACACATTGCTTGTTCAGTCCTACTCCCCCACCCTCAGACACTGATAGGTTCGGCTGGTGTTGGTAACAAGTAGTGGGAGGCATTGAAAGTTGTCACAGCAAACAAGGGACTATTAAGATGACTGGATCTGTGCTGACACCTTTTTGAGGTAATGCACGTGTGTGCTTGCAGCTAGCTTGTTCCTGACTTGAATTGACTCTTGAAGGAATTTGTGGCAATGTCTCGGAGTCATGTCTTTTGTTTTGATTTGAAGATGGTTCTATGCTACCAGAAACGTTGCACTGATTATATTTCAGTTACTGGTATGTCATGTCTTGGGCTCAAGCATGGTGACAATTTTTTTTTTAAAACCTGTCCAGTTTTCAGAGTTATTTTGTAAATACCTATATAGGCCATATTTATCCTATTGATAGTACATCAAAGGCATTTTTTAAATGATTATTTTTGCTGGGAGCGAGATACTGAAACCTTATCAATAATTAATCAGAACCAATAATGGACAACATAAAACATCGGGGAACTTCTGTTTGGTAGTTTTCTTTACTTGAACAATGCCTGTTGGCTAAATGTTTAACTGTTGGAAAGCCTGAATATTTCCCTTCTGAATGGTGCCACTTTTGTTAGGAAAATGCATTTATGGGACAGCATGCAGGTTGCATGCACTGCAGCTTTAATATGTTATGTTTATGTTCAGCGATGAGTCCAGAATCTACATACAACGGATGGATCATGGACGTAGTGACCGCTATGCTAATCACCTCACCTTTGAGTAATATCTGTTGGTGTAGGGCAGCACAAATTTTGATAAATCGTCCAGCCTGACTTGATAGTCCCTCATTGGTGGAGTAACATTGTTCACATTTGAGAATGCAAATCTAGAAATGGAAAGAAATACACAAACATGCTAACGTTAGCGAAGCCTGTTGCGACCTTAACTTGAGATGCTGTGGTTTTATTAGTACTGGATAGAGCACAGATCTTCGGGTGGCTCGATGGCTCAGTGACTTAGGACGCATGGGGCTGGGGATCAAATCCCGGTCAGTGCCGACAGTAGCATCCAGTCGGGTCCCACGGCAAGACCACTGTGAGTGGTTTCCCTTCCACTGTCGTGGGCGGGTTGCATCAGGAAGGGCATCTGGCGTAAAAACTCTACCATACATATCATCCAAGTAACTTGTTTGGAAACCCAAACAAAAACATTGGGCATGGATCTGCAATTAAAATTTGAAAAAGTCCGGTTGCAATCAATTTCTCATGGGCAAAACCAAACTTTTGATGAGCGTAGCTAAACCCATCGAACAATAACGAAATAGTAAATTTCCATTTACTTTTGGAAACATTTATTTGTGGTTTTGCAAATATGATGTTTTGTTTTCCATGACAAAAATGAACCATTTCAAAGGACAGCAGTTACTACAGTGGACAGCTTATCTTATCATGTTCCAGGGTGCATGAAAGGGTTAAAACTAATGGTCGCTGTACACTTGCGTGACTTGTGTGCAGGCAGCATGGGATCGGTTTTGGTCACATGATTATGACAAGCGCTACCGTAAAACAGAATTTAGCTGTATTTGAAGATACCTGGTATAGAGTATCCTGTACTCCATCGTCACAGCTTGTACTGGGCGATATGGGGAAAAAAATCTTATATTTTGATACAGCCCATTTTATATCACGCTAACGATATATCATGATATATTTGGAATTATTCCATTTAAAAAAAAAAAAAAACAATACAATACACGGTGACTGGTTAGCGCATCGACCTCACAATGCAGAGGTGCTGGGTTCAATTCCAGCTCCGGCTTGCATGTTCTCCCAGGCCTGCGTGGGTTTTCACCGGGTACTCCGGTTTCCTCACACATTCCAAAAACATGCATGGCAGGCGGATTGAACACTCAAAAATTGTCCCTAGATGTGAGTGTGAGCGCGGATGGTTGTTCGTCTTTGTGTGCCCTGCGATTGGCTGGCAACCGGTTCAGGGTGTCCCCCGCCTACTGCCCGGAGACGGCTGGGATAGGCTCCAGCATCCCCCGCGACCCTTGTGAGGATAAAGCGGATGGGAAAATGGATGGATGCATGTGACTGCTCACTTGAGAAATGCATCCAGTAGTGCTGGTATATAAAATTATCAAATGTAAACAGAAGCAAAAAAAGACTACATATTTGTGGCCAAATATAGATATCAGTCTAAAAAAGAGGCCAAAAAAAATTATGTTTCTGACTGAAATTAATTCAAAAAATCAAATCAAATAAAAGGATGAGCTCTACTGCAATGTAAATTTGAGGTTTATTGTGCAGGTCCTCAAAAGTCAAAGTCAAGGCTCCGGACTGTATTGTGAAATCAAATCACATTTGTAATATTGTAAGCATTCACTATGCTATAGCCATCCATTTCTGAAACGCTTATCGTCTCTATTAGCATTGTTTTGTGTTATTTATTTTCTCCAGACACCTATTAACGGCAATTTTACAAATTAAACTTGGATAGACTCTGCTTTAACGCATTTCCGGTGAGACCTCTCTGAAGTGTACTAAGTCACCCAAGCACTTTGAATTGCGGTCTTTCATGATGTTATTAGGTTATCTCAAAAATGAGCATGACTTCTCCGGCTTTCCCACCATAATTATTACTCGTAATCCCTTTGTGTGAACGATACTTGTAAGAAGTGTACCTTATTTGCCGCCAAGGTGTCGAGATGATGGTGGCTTTAAAACTCATTCAGTACCAGCCAATTCTAGATCAAGTCTAAAAAGACGTTCAAAAACGTCTTTGGGAGTGAATGAGTTAATTACTGAATTTAGAGCTGCAGCATGTTTAGTAGGGCAGTCGTAGCCTGAGATTCTCTCTTTTGCTATTTGTGTTTGGATGTGTCTCGAAATAAAAAAAAAAAACTTTGATTTTTGTACGGGAAATAATAATAATAGCACCCTGTAACCTGCTAACATGAGGAGCTGTCCATTGTAGTAACCGCTGTCCCCAAAAGAGTTTAAATTCCTTATTTTGAGAACTGATTGACTTGAATGACCGTATGCGGATGGATATTATTTTTTGCTTTGCATATCCTTTTGAAAGTGCTTGTTTGAGGAAAAGGGTTGTCATTTTTCTCTCTGTATTGAGTGACATCACGCAGAGCGTCTGATCCCGACCCGCGAAACACAGAATCAAGAAAAATAGACGGATTGACTGATTCTGATGAATTCTGATCAATTCTCAACTTTTTTTCCCTCCATTGTTGTATTATTCAGTACAATATCGAGATCTTGACAGTCGGTGGGCCTGGTTCTAAGCGTCATCTCCCTTCTGTTTTCAGATTGTGAGCGGAATGTCCGTGGATGAGAAGCCTGAAGCCCCCATGTATGTGTATGAGTCAACAGTTCATTGTACCAATATCCTCCTCTGCCTTAATGACCAGCGGAAGCAGGATATCCTGTGCGATGTGACTGTCCGAGTGGAGGGCAAGGAATTTCGTGGGCATCGGGCCGTGCTGGCGGCCTGCAGCGAGTATTTCCTCCAGGTGTTAGTGGGCCAGGCAGAGAATGGCTTCACGGTCAGCCTTCCTGAAGAGGTATGTCCAACAAACACATCATTTCGACTGATACGTTTAGCCTAGTAATCCTGAATAGTCAACCATATTTTAGACAATGCCATCGTAAATATTCTCCTGGGGCAGTAAAAGCGCAGTACCAACCAAGTTCTCTTCCAATAACTTAAATATTCATCAGCGTTAAATACTCATCACATTTTTTTGGGAGAATGAAAAAAATGTGAATATCACGTGAATACCGTATTGGCCCGAATATAAGACTGTTTTTTGCATTGAAATAAGACTGAAAAAGTGGGTGTCGTCTTATATTCGGGGGTCGAGACATTATACCCATTCACGACGCTAGATGGCGCCAGATACCATTGAAGCGACTGCTGAACTTGACTCCCCAGGGCAAAGTGAACCCCTGTCACGAAGAATAAAAAATAAAAATAGCGGAAGCACGAAGACGAAAAATAAAAAATAGCGGTAAGAAAGAAAAGAGAAGAAAATAATAGAAGAGATAACAGAAAATGGAGAAACGTAGCGACAATCTGGAGAAAAGTGGGTCGAAGATCGGCCAGGCTAACCGGCAGCTGAGGAGAAGTTATGATGTCATTTACATTTCAAAAACCCGAAGCTGTTCATTTACGAATGTGATTGCACTTTAGTTTACATATTTAAATGTTCAGATATTAAGATTTGAATGAGGCAAAATAAAATGCTTTTTCTCTCAAATATATTGTTATAATCATTTGTTCAGATGTACTGGAATTATTTTCTGTATAAAAATTAATTTGGTGTTCAAAAAGTCTTTTTTCAAATTTGAGTCTTGAAAAAGGGGGTCATCTTATAATCAGGGCCGTCTTATATTCGGGCCAATACGGTACATTTTTGACCTCTCGTTAAGTGAAAAATATCTATTGATGGAAATTAATCAAGCATTATTAAATTATCAGGACCACTCATTGCCCAGAAATATATTCACGCCCCTCTCCTTTTCCTCATTGTTTTGTATTAAATTACAGTACGTCTGAAATCGTATTTCCTTCAAGACTTTTTTTTTTTTTTTTTTAATGATGCCAACTGCGCTTAAATGTAACTAAGAATATTATTGAAATTCAAATGCTGTGATTTCCAATGAGACCACTTACAGATCTGCAATGCATGGTCCATTATGGATAAGGGACTCGATATGGTCCGATGGTCAACTGGTTAGCGCGTTGGCCTCGCAGTGCGGAGGTGCAGGGTTTGATTCTGGCTCCGGCATGTTCTCCCCGAGCCTGCGTGGGTTTTCTGCGGGGTACTCTGGTTTCCTCCCACATTCCAAAAACATGCTTGGCAAGTTAATGGAGCGCTCTAAATTGTCCCTAGGTGTGACTTTGAGCGCAGGGTAATAAGTAATCCCAAATCTGCTCGGCAACACCACAGTGGAAGAGTTTCTATCGCTAGAGGCTTGGTACCAGAACCCAAGCTGTGTGTCGAGGCGAATCCAACCAGATCTAGTTGGAGCTTCTCAAACTCACGCACCAGCAAGGGCTCCTTCCCTTTCAGAGAGGTGACATTCCAAGTTTTTCGAGCCAATTTCTGTAGCCTGGGATCAGAGCACCAAGATCCCGCCTTCTGCCACCACCCGGCTCTCTTTGCACCAGACCCCCTTGGCCCCTCCCACATGTAGTGAGCCCATGGGAAGGGCGACGCACGTTATTTTGGGCTATGCCCGGCGGGGCCCCTTGGTTGCATTAGGTGCTTACCATGGAGCCCCACCACCTGGCTTGGCTCCAGAGGAGGTCCCCCGGTGACCCACATCCATTAATTGGAATCATCATGGGGATTTTAAGACGTGCATTGTTTGTGTTTGTGTTCTGGGTGTTCGATGGAGTGTTGGAAGTAAACTTTTTCTGATTCTTTTTTTTCATTTGAGTTGCTTTTGTTGTGTCATTTCCTTTGTCCATTCCTCAACAATCAAACACATTTGGTTTGTTTAATCTGTGTGCTAAAGTTGCCTCAATATTAATTTGAAGAGATGAATGTTCTTTCCATGTATATACTTAATAAATTAACCAAATGGTATTTGCTTGGTCAGAAGCAGACTTGTAAAACATTATAGATGTGAGTTCATGTCCTCCCAAAGTCTGGCTTGTACTAAACTGCACTGTGAGCGGATTACGAGACACTATCTGATTTAATCCACTGTGTGGGTTGCGGAGGGGGCTGGGGGTGTGGGGGGGGGTTATCAAGTGGGATTTTACCGGCAACAGTGGTATGGAATAGTAACCTGTTTTACCTGTCTAGTGGCAGAGTAGAATAAGAATAAGAAAACCTTTATTCGTCTCACAATGGAGAAATTCCCAATTTATAGCAGCAAAGTTGTGACAGGAAGAAAGAAAAACAAAAAGTATCGGAGCTGCTGTAAAGGCAGCCACTTTCGCGGCACCATCTTGAAGTCATAATAACATGATAACAATAGACATGTGATTATATCTTCAAAGGGATTATAGTAGTCTTAAAGGTTGAGCACTTTTTGTAGTTGAGCCAAAATGTATCTGAAAAACGTATCCTCAAATTTTGGGGATTTCTGACCTCTTATCATTTTTCAATACATCTCTCTACTCATAATTTCATCCACCTTGAAAGGCTTAACTGTGCATGTGTTTGTGTTCCTTTTCTTTGGCTTTTTGCCCCCCCCCCCCCAAAAAATACACCAGAATATAGTTGGGCAATATCGCCCCAACATTATCTTGTTTTTGGGGAAATATAGAAATAGTGTGTGTGTGTGTGTGTGTGTGTGTGTGTGTGTGTGTGTGTGTGTGTGTGTGTGTGTGTGTGTGTGTGTGTGTGTGTGTGTGTGTGTGTGGAGAGAGAGAGAGAGATGAAGGGGGGATACACTAAAACAATATTCATACATTGCATATATTGCATAATAATGCAAAAAAAATACACTGTACACAAATGTACTGTCGAGTGTAATGCAAAAATGAAGTTTTGGCCAATAATAATTCAGACAATACAACACAATAATCACTGGCGGCCTTTTGTCAAGATGAGAATGTTGCTTTGTAATGTAATGAAATGTAATAGAAGTAAATAGATCAGTAATTGATTTTAAACAGGATATGGGTCATTATACTGTTTTTAAAAAGTAGCCAACAGTAAGGAAAATAAAATTTCAATCAATTACAAACACTCTGGCTCACTTTAAACTTCCCTCATTCGGCTACTATTGCGGTTTTAGCAGTGGTGTTGAAGGGCACACATAAAGATGTAAACCTGCAGACGGCAGCTGATGAGACTAACTGAAAATAGAGCCATTGGTATGCTGAGATCTTTTCCTTATTTAGCCTTCCTATTAATAAGCGTGTTTGAATAAACTGCGGCAGGTTGGCCAATGCGTCTCATTCAAGCTATGATATCCCTCCGTATGTTTCCACACGTACGCTAGCTATTAGCAGCATTCGACGATCGTTTCCCAGTTTACGTTCATGGGTTCTGATTAAATACAATCCGAAAGGCAGGTACAAGTGACGCCCCACTTTGACCTTGCTTAGCAGGCTTGTTTAGCGGTTTCTGGTTGAGCTGTTGTGTCACATCACAACAACGCGAAGGCACATTGATCAGCTGGGCATCAGGCCGAGCAGAGAAATTAATGTTATGGAGTTTATTGACCTAAAATAAGAGTTTACAAACTTAATTTTGTGTATCAAGCATTTTTCATTTTTTGGTAAACTTAATTTAAATTGTTTTGTTGATAAATAATCATGAAATACCAGTCACATATCTTAAGCGTTTATCGCACTCAGCGGGGAAGGTTTACAAGTGTGCGCGCACATAGCACATGTTTATTTGTCAGGGTTCATTAAAGGTTGCAAAGGGTTGCAAAAGTTTGCAACGATGTTCCCAAACAAATAGTACTTATTGCAAACAGTTCTTCTTTTTCTAAAAAAATGTCGCCATCAAATTTTGAATGTGTTCAAAATTTCTTTGCAGTTTTGAAAAACTGTTTGCAACATTTTGCAACTGTTGGCAACCTTTTAGGAACCCTGACAAGTAAACATTCACTACGTGCCCACAAACTTGTGATAACTTGAGCTTGAAAGGCCATATCTCGTTCGCCAACAATTTTAATGATTGTCACAGAGAAATTTGGAACATTCACAACGTTCGAAATTGGATGGGGACAATAGAAACTGCAAACATTAAAGCTGTTTGGGAGTGTCTGGCGAACATCTTTGTAACTGCTTTCTTCCGCCACGTGCGCACACACTTGCAAACCTTCGCCGTTCAGTGACATACGGGCTCAAGGGGGGCCTCCTTTAAACGAAAAAAAAAGTGATTTTGATTCAGTGGATTTATATCTGTAGAGCCACTCTAAATTGTATCCTGCATGTGTGTAGAAATGAGTGTACGTGTGGTTGTACCACTCATATTGCGGATGCTCATACGTAAAGTGAAAAGAAAGCCTCTACCCTCCCCCACGGTGTCATACTGAAACTCCCACACCCCTACTTACGCTCTCTCTCTCTCTCTCTCTCTCTCTCTCTCTCTCTCTCTCTCTCTCTCTCTCTCTCTCTCTCTCTCTCTCTCACTCTCTCTCTCACACCATCCCCCACTCATGGCTATCAAGTCAGCAGCATCCTCCTAACAATAGCTGATATGCTTTGCTGTTGTTGAACTATGAGCTCACTGTAAACTAGCTCAGAGCAGAAATATGGGCATGGGTGAAAAGGAGCGCGGCACATACTCATACTTACTTAACATTTCTAAATGCCAAAAACGTCAGGGATTTCTGACCATATCAGTAACAGTTGGCGATCTGCTGAATTTGAGCAAAGCAATAATCACAGTCAACTGCGAACCTCATGCTGATCTTTAAAACAGTGGGTCATAGTAAGAGGCTCTTTAGACACCCTTTGTCTCACGTGTTTCAACGAAGCACCAAAGCAGGCCAAGAATTCTGCCAGCTCAGGAGTATACCTAATTAACTGGCATTAGGTTTAAATGGAAAGGCTTCTCTCTATCATTCCCCACCACATGGCCACAACAGAGATTAGCTAGAGTCTTACAAACCATTAAGCTTTAGGCTCCAGACACTTGACCAGAGGACACTTGGTACCGCTACACAAGGCATTATCTGGTCTAATATAGTATAGCCTAAAGCTAAACAATACATCTGTAAACAAAGCTGCAACAAAGTTTGTTCAATGAGGAGCATACCATACATCCTTGGTATGCCCTTAATATTGGTAACTTTTATTAAAGACATTAGACCAGGGGTGTCCAAACTTTTTCCTCCATCCATCCATCCATCCATCCATCCATTTTCTGAACCACTTTATCCTCACAAGGGTAGCGGGGCGTGCTGGAACCTATCCCAGCTGTCTTGGGGCAGTATGCGGGGGACACTCTGTACTGGTTGCCAGCCAATCGCAAGGCACACAGAGACGAACAACCATCCGCGCTCACACTCACACTCACACTTAGGAACCTGCCACACATGTTTTTGGAATGTGGGAGCAAACCGGAGTACCCAGAGGAACCCACGCAGGCACGGGAAGAACATGCAAATTCCGAAAGGCCGGAATCAAACCCTGCGCCTCTGCACTGTGAAGTCGACGTGCTAACCAGTCGACCACCGGGGCGCCCAAAAAGGAAATCTGATATACCAAATATTTGAGCCTTTTCAATTTAGATTTACCAACAGCTCGTGACCATACGCGATGGTAGGAACGTAGATTGACCGGTAAATCGAGAGCTTCACTTTTTGGCTCAGCTCGTTTTTAGCCATGACAGACTGATACAAAGTCCACATCACAGCAGACGCTGCACTGATCCGCCTGTCGATCTCCTGCTCCATCTGGCCCTCCCTCGTGAACAATACTCCAACATACTTAAACACCTCCACTTGAGGTAAGATATCATCCCCGACCCAGAGAGGCCACTCCACCATTTTCGAACTGAGGACCATTGTTTCAGAATTGGAGGTGCTGATTTTCATCCCAACCACTTGAGAGTTGGAGATCCCGGCTTGAAGAAGCCAACAGCACCACATCATCTGCAATAAGTAGCGATGCAACACTGAGGCCACGAAACCGGACCCACTCTACAACTTGGATGCCCCTAGAAAATTCTGCCCATAAAGGTTATGAACAGAATCTGTGACAAAGGGCAGCCTTGGCCGAGTCCAAGCCTCACATGAAAACGGATCCGACTTACTGCCGGCAATGCAAACCAAACTCTGACATCGGTGGTATAGGGACCAAACAGCCCATATAAGGGGGTTCGAAACACCATACCCCCATAGCACCCCCCCACAGAACTCCCCAAGGGACATGGTTGAACATCTTCTCCAAGTCCACAAAGCAGATGTAGACTGGTTGGGGGAACTCCCATGCACCCTCGAGGACTCTTCCAAGGGTTTAGTGCTGGTCCACTGTTCCACAACTGGGATGAAAACCACATTGCTCCACCTGAATCTGAGACTTGACTTGCTGACGGACCCTCCTCTCCAGCACCCCTGAACAGACCTTACTCGAGAGGCTGAGTAATGTGATTCCTCTACAGTTGGAACACACTCTCCGGTCCCCCTTCTTAAAAAGAGGGACCACCACCCTGGTCTGCCAGTCCAGAGGCACTCTCCCCGATAACCATGTTGCAGAGGCATGTCAACTAGGACAGCCCCAGAACATCCAGAGCCTTGAGAAACTCTGAGTGGATCTCATCCACCCCCGGGGCTTTGCCACCGTTTTTAACCACCTCTGTTACCACAGAGATTGGAGAGTCCACCTCTGAATCACCAGATCTGCTTCCTCTAAGGAACAATGGTGCACTGCTTCCCCCTCTTGAGACCTGTTCCCACACCCAAAAGTGGAGGGAGGCTACCCTCTCGTCCACTGGTGTGAACCCCAATGTACAGCCACTGAGCTGGGGGTCAGTGAGTATGCCCACTCCTGCTCTGCGCCTCTCACTGTGGGCTACTCCAGAGTGGAAAAGAGTCCAACCCCTCTCGAGGGAACTAGTACCAGAACCCAGGCTGTGTGCCGAGGCAAGTCCGACTATGTCAAGTCAGAACTTCTCTGCCTCGCACACCATGTAGGGTTCCTTCCGTGCAAGAGAGGTGACATTCCATGTCCCTAGAAATAGCCTCTGTAGCCGGGGATCGGACCGCTAATTTATTCGCCATAAGGGATCTGTGAGCCATGCTTTGACTGGTCCCTCACCAAGGATCTGTTTGCCATGGGTGACCCTGCCGGGGGCATTAAGCCCCAGACAATTTAGCTCATTTGGACACACAAAGCCCTCCACCACGGTAAGGGGAAGGCTCACGGAGGGAAGCTAAGGAAATATATACTCTAATATAGTATACCTGTAGCTCAAGAAAAAGGCAAAGTGTGCATGTGTGTACTGTATGGCTTATGCTGTTGACTGGTCTCAATCACCGTTCACAATCGGCATTAGTGTAACTTGTTGCCATCATGACCCAAAACCGTCCAACCATTTAAAATTTGAAAACAAAATAAATAGGGTGAGTGTGGAGATATATATATATATATATTTTTTGTCGCCACCATTTCCACCCCAACTACGCTTCTCATCCCTGCTTGTACCCTTCGGAAACGAATAAAGCTGGTGAATATGCCGAGTCGACTACCGGATGATACTTACATTTTTTTTCTTGTAAGTAATAATTTCACCTAATCATGCTTTTCATACCTGAAAACCTTTCTATAAGGTTTTATATAATCTATAAGTTTAATGTGGGGATTTTGGGGTGGTCAGAGTCCCTGCAACCCACGAGAAAATATCTGTCCCTGCGCTGAACAGCAGCCGAATCCCATCTCTTTATCCAGAAACCAAAACAGGAGCAAGCTCTTGTAAGCTGACCATTTTTAAAGCAGTTACTTGGGAATCATTCATGTCATATGTTCACAATTTGGGCTTTGACACAGAGCAGGAAGCGGAGGGAACCATTTTGGCTTGTAAAAAAAATTTATTATCTTCATGACCACAGTGTTGTAAAAAGAAATGTTGTCATGAGTTTATTTGTAAATAATAATTTGTTTTTGCATATTGTGAAAAGCTCCAAGTATATAAAACAAATTCATTAGTAGCAAATAGCACTTTTAGTATCTGCTGTGGGCTGTTTAAGAACAGATGGCAGGCGACAGGCTCTCACCACACCCAAGTACTCTAGACAATGACTCTCGTTCTAGTAATCATGACAATTTCCCTGCTATTTTACAGGTCACTGCTAGAGGATTCATCCCATTGTTGCAGTTTGCCTACACCGCAAAGCTGTTACTCAGCAAAGAAAACATTCAAGAGGTCATCCGCTGTGCCGAATTCCTGCGCATGCACAACCTAGAGGATTCATGCTTTCGTTTTCTGGAAGCTCAGCTGCGTAGCGAGGACAGCTTGCTGCACTGTCACAATGTGGCTGCTGAGGGCATCAACTCAGAGTATGAAAGCATGCAGTCAGAGGCCGAAATGCCCTCCTCCCCAAGGATACGACGTGCTGATGATCTTGCCGCCTTTCAGTGCCCCGATGAGGATCGGCTAGCAATGACTATACCGAGTAACTTCACAGACGGCCGATTGGACATCGATCGACGCAGTGGATCAGACCTGCCACGATGCCCGAAGTACAGGAAATACCAGTGGGCATGCAACAAGCACAATAATGATTTCTCTTCCGACACCAGTACCTCAGGTTTCCCGAGCACAATAAAAGACAGCAGGATTAGTGGGGGAGTCCCAGATCAGGACAGGTTGCCTTTGGCGGAGATCAAAGTAGAACAACAAACAGAGGAAGAGGCCGTCTCATTGTGCCTCTCGGGGGATGAGCAGGACACTCGGGATAAGGATAGTGGGCTCGCAATGGAGATGGATAATCCTGTGTCTTCAGAAATCATCAAGAGAACCAAGTCGGCATCCTGCGTCCGAGCCTTATTCAAAAAAGGAGCAGACCGCTCCAATCCGCCCAATACATCGCAGCAGCTATTTGCCAACAGGCTTGTCTGTCCCCAGGACAAAATTAACTCTCAGGGAGATCACAAAAAAGACTTCAGAGCTTTTGCTGGGGAGTTAAGTTTGTCTTTAATATCCCCAAAGAACACTGACAATTTCACTGCAGGTCTGTCCGTCAAGTCCACGTCCTGCGATGAAATCTGCAAACAGGAAGTTGAGCTTGATCGACGAAGTGTCATTTTTTCCTCAGGAGCCTGCAATCGTCTTGGAACCCCAGCACATTCCTACCCCGGTGGGAATTCTTTTGAAATTGAGCTTTCTGAGCACATACCAAAGGGAATGTGTCCTGGAGCCAGCCAGTCCCTTCCGACCTCCCAGGCCTATTCTCCCAGCACCACCTCCACCGAACCCCAACTGCTGTGCCGCCCGCGGCCAAACACGAGCTGCCCGGTTCCAATAAAAGTTTGCCCGCGCTCACCGCCTTGCGAGACACGGACCAGGACATCCAGCTCCTGTTCGTCATACTCCTATGCAGAAGATGGCAGCGGTGGCTCTCCGTGCAGCCTGCCTCAGTTTGAGTTCTCTTCCTCACCGTGCTCCAACATGGCCCGCTGCCTTAATGTCGACCAGCAGGAACACAGTGTCGGGGATGTTTTTAACCGGGGGCAACCCAAGATAAAATGTGAACAGTCCTATGGCACCAATTCCAGCGATGAGTCAGGTTCATTTTCAGAAGGAGACAGCGAGTCCTGTACTGTACAAGAGCGTGGCCCTGAGGTGAGTGCAAATCTGCATATGCGGTCTTGAAGCCGTCATTTACAATCCAGAAGGCTGTCCAATATGTAACAATTCAATAATTGTGGGTTATTTTTCACCCGACTGTTTTTATAATTTGTCTTATTAATCAGTATATTAAATGCTTCTATAATTGGGGCATTGTTTTGCTACCTTGAAAATGTTTTGGTCAATACACGAATACAGTATAGCATACTATGTGAGAAGTATCCACACAGCGCTGAAGTCACACAAGGTACTCTGAGTATGTTGGAATAGGATACTACATCCCATCTTAAACCCTTGATTTACCTTTATAATACACTTATGCTAATTCCCAGAGCAGCATAGTTCACTTATTAGGATTGAAACCAGGGCATCGAAATAGCAATGAGCACTGGCCAGGTCCTCAAACACCATACAATATTCTCTCTCACAATTATGTTAAGTCACACATTATTTGACACCATTTTACAACTAACTGTTCAGATTCCTTTGGAATTCATATTCTGGAGTGCTTTTGTTGAAGTGATGTGGCCGTCATTAGTGGCCCTGTTGTTGTGATCATCAAGTTAGCCTTAGTCATGTGGTAGTGCACCGGAAGTCATGTGAATCTGAGTTTCAAAGTAAGTGTGTCACCCGTAAATGCTCTATTGGCTGTTTAAATGTTGCTGGCTTGACGGCATTGTGATAAATCTGCTTTGTAAAGTGTACCTTATTATCCGATGTTGTGTGCTCTTGCCTCTTGATCCGTGAATGTCCTCTTTTAGAAAAATCACACCCACACACCTAAACAACTGTACAAACATGTGCATGGGCAAATTTGGATTGAAGAGAAAAAAACTGTGCCTCTGGATTGGCAGACTAGGGTGTTACCACCTTTTTAAGAAAGAGGACCGGAGAGTGTGTTCCAACTCCAGGAGGATCAACCTCTCTGGTAAGGTCTAGTCAGGGGTGCTGGTAAAGAGAGTTTGTAAGTCAAATCTAGGATCCAGGAGGAGCAGTGTGGTTTTTGCCCCGGCCGTGGAACAGTGGACTCGCTCTGCAGGGTCCTCGAGGGTACATGGGAATTCACCCAACCAGTCTAGATGTGTTTTGTGGACTTGGATAAGGCATTTGGCCGTGTCCCTTGGAGAGCTGTGTGGGGGTTGCTTCAAGAGTATGTGGTTATCGAACCTCCTGATATCGCGCTGTTTAGTCCCTGGATGACCGATGTCAGAGTTTGGTTCGCATTGCTGACAAGAAGTTGGATTCATTTCCAGGAAGGGTTGGACAGGGCTGCGCTTAGTCACCGATTTTGTTCCAACCTTTATGGACAAAATTTCTAGGTGCAGCCAAGGAATTGCGGGGGTCTCGTTTGGTGGCCTAGTATTTCATCACTGCTTTTTACAGATTATGTGGTACTGCTGACCTCCAAATCTGAGACCATGGTCCTCATTCGGAAAAGGGTGGAGTGCCCTATGAAGGTTGGAGAGGCGATGCTTCCCCAAGTGGAGGATTTCAAGTAGCGTGTGAGGCAAGAATGGAACGTGACAGGCGGATCGGTGCAGCATCTGCAGTGATACGAACTTTGGTGTTGGTCCATCGCGGTGAAAAAAGACCTGAGCCAAAGGCTCTTAATTTACAGGTCAGTCTCTATTCCTACACTCACCTCTGGCCACAAGGTGTGGGTTCTGAGTAAAAGAACATGATCCCAATCTAAGCGGCCCAAATGATTTTCTATCGCAGGGTGTTCAAGCACTCCGTTAGAGATCATCCAGAATGGGCTCAGAGTCAAACTGCTGCTCCTCCACATTGAGTGGAACCAAATGAGGTGGCTCAGGCATCTGATTAGAATGCCTCCTGCACACCTCCGTGGTGAGGTGTTCTGGGCACGTCCCACCAACAGGTAGACCCAGGACATGCTGGAGAACCTTTGTCACCCGGCTGACCTGGGAACGCCTTGGAAAATTCCCACGGAAGAGCTGGCTGAAGTGGCTGAGGACAGGATAGTCTGGGCTTCTCTGCTCAAGATGTGGGTCACTTTGGGGTACTGGCACGTTGGTGTACTGACACAGTGGATTTTTTTTTTAAGATGGCCACCTCAATAAACCTGTAAAATATGGATTGTGTTTGCCAGGCCTATTGTGACTTTTTGTGCATTTTTAGACCTTCAAAAACAACAGTGCGTAGCAACGGCAGGAGCGTTTCACAAAACATCACAAGTACCCGTTTCAACATCACGAAAGTCTGAACACTCTTCCAAGAAAATATCAAGGATATCTGGTTCACCCTAGAGGAAAAATATGTCAGATAAGAATGGGTTGTCTCTTCCCAGGTTCAGGATATTGCTCCAAGAGACTTTTTTCGTAGGCTGTGGGCTGGTACATATGCCTTCCAATTATAGAGGTCACTGCTCGGGCCTAATAACTAAACTAACGTGGCTGCAACATGCTTGGAACACAAATGCACGGCGAGGCAATGAAATCCGGCTGATTTTCATTTCACATGCATACTTGCGCACCACTAATATGCACCCCTGTTTATAGGTTTTCCTACACAACTCTTATGGCCTGTCAAAGTAGTTCGTCAAATGCAACCCAGGATGGCCAGGGGTATTGTTCATGAGCTTGAATACATGGAAATATTTTTATTTCTGTCATGACAAGGCCGGAGTGTGGCACTAATGGTTCCCGAATAAATTTGAGCCTCAACCATCACGATTGGGTGCTCTTGTAGAAAGAACCTGCGTTAGATTGGCTTACTGCAGCACCCGACAGATGAAGACGATCTCGGCCCTCTATTCTCTGGGGCCTCAGGCAGCCTGTGCAGGAGAAGTGGTAGTGTAGAGCATTTCTCACTTTTCCTCTCTGCCCTCTTCCGTCTTTGCTTGACTTTGTTCTTCATGAGCTGTGCAGACTCTGCCATCGGATATGAAAGGTAGAAGAGAGAGATCGCTGCAGCTCCTCTCATCCCCTGCCAATTCCTCTTCCTCGTACTCTTTGTTATGCCTCTCCGAGACTTGCTGTCTAAGCGACAGCTAACGTCTGACGCGCACTGATGGAATTTTGCCATCTTGTGGTCAATTGGTATCCTACTCCAAGTAATAAGCTTGATCGTGTTGTCTCTTGCAAGTGATTTCCAACCAGGGTGTCGATGGCACCCAAGTGTGCTGTGAGATCTCCTCAGGCATGCCGAGGGAAATTATGGTTTATTGAAGGCAAACGTGCACAATCATCATTTGTTCATCAAGCTAGATGCCAGTCATTTCTAATGGCAGGTAGAATCATTAAATCAGCGGTGGGAAAACGACAGCCCTTGGGCTAGATTCAGCTCGTTGCTATTTTTAATACAGCCTGCCACTTGTTCATGTCCAAATCATGAACAGAATTATGACATGCAGCGACGCACACTGCATGATCATTGTTGAGTAATTCCTGGTGTCCCAGCAAAGTGATGCATTAGGCGCATTGATGCATTGACTTAATTTTACAGGCGCTGGGCCACTCCCTGTTACTTTGCTGTAACTATCCAGCTGTATTGTTTTTTTCAAAAGGCAGTTTATACATTATATTCCTTGACTCTGGATGAAAAGTAATGACCTTAAAGGGATTCTAGTCTCTTTATGAACACATTGGGTAAACCCCGGTGGAACGAAAAAAGACATCGTGGACAAGACCGCTATTGTTTGTAGAAAAATAGATATTTGGATAGAAAAGAGAGAATAAGGGAAAACACAGGTTACCAAAGAGTGCGTCCGTCCGACCTCGAGCGTCGTGTCATCTGTACTAACTTAGCTGTTGTCGTGGCTAGGCTAGCTTAGCTGTTGTCGTAGATCAAAGCTCTTTGATGTGTAACATCCGTTGCGTTTTCACTCGAGTGGCGTCGCTACAACCTAAAGCAGTGGTTCTCAAATGGGGGTACGCGTACCCCTGGGGGATGGGTGACATTTTTAAGTTTCTTTAAAAAGTGGCATCCACTCAATTAAAGGGCTTGATCAGCGCCGTTGCCTACCTGCTATTCAAGAACGACAAAGACACTCAGTGAAGAAGAAGCCCGATTGGTCCACAAAAATGTCTTTTTTTTTATAAGAAATAAACCTATCATCAATGTATATTGTTGTTGTTTGTGTTATTATCATATGCAATTGAATAAGTTGACCATTTCAGAATTCGAAATTTGGGACTGTCTAAATGCATAATGGGACTCATACTTCATACTTCTGATCAAAGAGTCCCTGGGACTCACTGGGGTTAAACTGTAAAATTATCACTGTGTGTGTATATATATATACACACACAGTCAAACCTTGGTTTTTGAACGTCTCTGTTCTCGACCAAATCGGTTTTCGACCAAAAATTTCAAGTTTTTATGCCTCAGGTTACGACCGAAAATCGGTTCTCGACCAAACTGAGCGCACTTGAATGCGCCACTTGACTCCTCTCGCCTCCCTTACACGAGGAAGTGACACTTCCTCGGGTAGACGAGAAAGTGATGCTTCCTCGTGTAGCGTTCCATTGTGAGCAGACGTGTTCAATAAAGATTTTTTTTTTTTTTTTTAAAGAGCGTAGTTTCGGTTTTCCAACGCCCGGTGGGCGACTGGTTTGCATGTCGGCCTCACAGTGCAGAGGGGCAGGGTTCGACTCCGACCTTTCTGTGTGGAGTTTGCATGCTCTCCCCGTACCCGTATCCGGGTAACATTCGTTTCTGTCACGTCTTTATTTAAAATATTCTGACTTTTGACAACCACCTCTTTGTGAATGTTCCAGGTGAAGCTTCCTTTCCCTGTTGATCAAATCATAAATCTTCCACGGAATGACTTCCAAACATTGGTGAAAATGCACAAACTGACCTCAGAGCAGCTTGAGTTCATCCATGATGTGAGGCGAAGGAGCAAGAATCGCATTGCTGCCCAACGCTGCCGCAAGAGAAAACTTGACTGCATCTTGAATCTTGAGTGCGAGATCAGAAAACTGGTGAGTCCATCCATCTCTGCCAACTCTTTTGTCTTTGAGGATCTCCTCACTTCACCACACACCTTCCCACAGATTTTGAATGAAATGCAAAGGCTGCACTTTGCCCTCGAGTTACTCTGTTTTCATGAGCAGCTTCCTCTCGGTCACTCCTAGAAAGCTCACACACACACACACACACACACACACACACACACACACACACACACACACACACACACACACACACACACACACATCCTCTTAATTAGCCCTCAGTATGATATAAAGGTTACGGTTGGCTTTAACCCTTTCATGCACAAATAATGATAACCTACATCAAGATTTTTCTCTCAAGCTTTTTTATTCGTCTTTGGGTTTGAAAAAGAAATAATGGCAGTGGATGGCAACACACATAAGGGTCCAGTGTAGTGGTTGACACATAACTGTGACATTAATTCATATAAGAGAAAACAACATTTGGATAGCTGTCCACTCTGGTAACCGCTGTTCCTGAAAGGGTTAAAGAGGGAGGCTGGAAGGGGGAAAATACTTTTTCACGGCACCGTACTTAATTTGATTGTTGTTCTTGCCACTGCTCCCACACATCCAGGAAGCATAATTCAAGCAACAAATAACATTTCTTTATTCGGATTGTGTGGTGCTTAATTGCACCGCACAAATAATATATCTACATCAGGGCTTAAAGACCAACTTCATCACAATTGAATGCCATCATTTGGAAAAATTAATAACAATCATGAGTTGTGTTTCATTACAAAAACATATTTCAACAATGTGATGCCACGGGAGTGAACATCCACACCCCGTCACACCTCTTGTCCGTACCATCTCAAGACATGGAACAAGAGGGGGGAAAAAACGTTTTCTAAATATTATTTGAGAATCGGGCTATTAAATATTTTCGTCACTACTCAAGCGTAAATGCTTAGTTACTCCCCTGCACAAAAATCCCAATCAGCATTTGATAGGTGGACAACAATATTCTGCTGGTTCATTTGCACCAAATGTTGAGCATTCATGGTAGCAATCTAGAGTAGTTTAGCCACGATTGGCTGACTTGCGCGCTTCCCCTCTGTTGTATGGGGTTCCACAGGGTTCAATTTTGAGGCCCCTGTTGTTTTCACTGAATTTGCTGCGCTTAGATTCCATCCGAAGAACACACGGTATTTCCTTCCACTGCTATGCAGATGACTATCAGATCTATTTCACGCCAAGGAAAAATGGATGTTCCCCTTAAGACCACTTTTGTCCTGTCGAGAGGAAATCAAAGCATGTTGTCAAAAAAAATTCTTAAATTTCAGCAAAAAGAAAACAGATGTTACGGTGTTTGGTCCCAATGGCCTTTGTGCATACCACCTGTGTGACCTGTGCCCTCTAGCATCTTATCTAAAGCAAACAGTCTCAAATTTGGATTTTAAATTGGACTGGCAAATCGGTGCTGTTGTTAAATTGAGCTTCTATCATCTTCGGCAATTGGCTAAAATAGAATCTTTCCTTTCTCAACAGCACTTAAAAACAGAAACGTATGCCTTTGTTACATCTCGGCTAGATTCTGTCGGCTAGATTCTGTAGTGCAATTAATTTTGGCGTCATCCAGTCCTCTCTCAAGCCCTCCCCAGTTGTTCCAATATGCTGCTGCCCGCCTTCTAACTATCTACATAAATATGCTTCAAAGCTGAAAAACTGATTTTGCCTTTTTGCCGGTCTTTTTTGGAACATAACGAAGGACCGCTGTAATAAGTACAGAAAAAAAAATGGGTGGTTATATTGCAGGACAAACAAGTGCAGCGAATGGCTTTGACATAAATTGTTGTGAACGTAAGTTAAAGTGCAGTATGTGTGTGCATTTGTTTTTTTTTTGTGCAAATACAGGTGTGCGAAAAGGAGAAGCTGCTTACAGAAAGGAACCAACTGAAGGCTTGTATGGGAGAACTATGGGAGAACTTCTCCTGTCTGTCCCAGGAGGTGTGCAGGGATGTCCAGCTGAGCCCCGAACAGGTTCAGTCATTGCACCACTACTGCCCGGTCCTCCGACCCAGCATTTCCACTGCCAGCAATCACGCTGCCTACGATCCCAGGCCGTGTAACACACCCGACACCGCCAACATGGATCTGGCTGTCTGTTTGGACTCCGCCGCACCTGAAACAAACATTCCCGCTTCTCCTGGCCCTTTGGATATCAACTCGGTCGGAAACGGGGAAGACAAAGATATGGACGGCCAATACATTGGCTTGTACACAGATTCAGGGCTGACCGTGGAAAAATACGCTCATCAGACAGTGACCGTTGATTTCTGCCAGGAAATGACGGAAAAATGTACAACCGACGAGCAGCCACGCAAGGACTCGACTAATTAATGGTTTATAGATTTATTCTTTTTTTTTTACATGTTTAATGTTGTTTTTATTCTTATTTAATTATACTAATTTGACAAACCCTCTTGAGAGGGTGGTTGAGATACCCAGCTTCTGCCAGCATTCGCTAAAAAAAAAAAAAAAAAACACAAAAAAAGATTTGTATGTATTTATGTTTTTCATGATTTCCTTTTTTTTTTTGTGAACAGTCGACACTAACGTTGTCTTAATAGCAGAAATACTGTTCGCAAAGTATTCTCTTACGGAATGTGAGAGGTTCTCACTAAATCCTTCCAACGGTGCTATCTACGGCCCTGGCAGCAGCTTTGAGAGTCAGGGTGGCTTCATGTTTTTGGTGTGTCACCCATAACACAAAGAGGAACCTCAGCGGACAAAAAAAAAAAAAACAACTCTTTCTGTTTTTAGCAGTTTATAAGTGGCTCTGTGCCTTTGCTGGCATGTTTCCCACCCTTTCTTTCTGCAATTCTGGCTCCATCGGTCTTCTCTACCTCTCTCTGACTCTGTTCCATGTGCATCTTTTCTCGCTTTTTAGCTGTAAGTGAGCCTTTTCATCTACAGCGATTCAAAACTCAGGAAAACAACAAAAAAAAGCAACAACAGAAAAAAAAAACCCCAACCTCTGAATGTTCAACATAACTCATGCAAGATAAGGAGCCGGATTTTGTACATGCGGACGTTCTCATGCAATTAGATTGTAAAATGTCGATGCAAAAATGTCTCGTGATTTTGTACAGGCTGTAAACTGATCACATTCCCTTTTTTTGCCTTCTTAAGCTCTCAATGTAAAGTTTGGTTTTGTTTAATTTTTTTTTTTTGCTGGCAGAAACATGTTTTCTCTCTCTAACCAGCGCTACCCATTCATCGTTTGGACATTGATTCAGTGTTTGTTTGACAACATGTATATAGCGTGAGCATGATGACTGTCTCAATGAATGTTTTTCTTTTTTTTTTTCCCCCACCAAGGATACAGAAAGCATCTTACTGCTGCGGGAAGATTTTTGACTTTTGTCATTTCATATACAGTGGTACCTCTACTTACGAATGTCTCTTCATACGAAATTTTCAAATTACGAAACAGTCTCAACAGGAAAACATTGCCTCTTGTTACGAAAGGTAAAAATACAGTATGGGCTGCTACTCGCAGCTCCGAGTTTCCTGAACGCCACATACTTGTAGCTGCTCTGCCATTGGCTACTACCGTGCATCATCCTGGCGTCTCATTGGCTAAAAGGGACTTCCACCGTATGTGTTTATGTGTGTAGATAGATAGATAGATTTGTGTCCATGCAGCATCCTCGTCGTTCCCCCCCTCAGGCCAAGAGGTGTAGTTTTAAGATAGTTTTAACTCAATGTGAATCACCCACAAAAAGTGTTCACCAGTCGGGCGATCGCTCACTATGATGATCATTTTCGAAGGGTTGTTAAAAGTCAACAAAAGCAAATGTCCTTGGATCAGTTCTTTACGAAATGCCAGGGAAAAACCTCTTCTGAGACAGAACATGAACTAAAGAGTGTAAAAAACGATGAGGACGCAGTTAAAAGTTAAATGACCATTTTTTTACTCTTTGCTTTTTGTTTTTTACATGATGCACAACTCTCATTTATTGCGCAATAATCTAATTGTAACATGTATTTGTTACATATTTTGATGCATTTTTATGCATTAGGAAACATTTACGTCTGAATTTTGGGGAGGGGGGGGGCTTTGAACGAATTAGGGCATTTACTTGGAAAACGCGTCTCCACTTACAAATTTTTCAAGTTCAGAAATTTCTTCCAGAACCAATTAATTTTGTTCGTCGAGGTACCACTGTAGTTGAATACGCCCCCTCCACACTGAAGGGCGAGTGCTCTTAATTCTCAGGAAAACAGTTTAACAGACGCGCATACGGATGGACGGACGCATTTCGTGGCACAAACGCATCCAAAATTGAAGCTTCGCGTGTCCACACACACACACGCACACACACACACACACACACACACACACACACGAAGCTTCAATGAAGATGGTTTCAATTTGCGTCAAGTCAGCTCTTCCCTTTTACCTCCGTAGTTCAAGTGAATGAATTTTTGAGGAAAGCTGTTTTTGTATTTTCAACCGATCTCGTTTTTTTTCTGAACATTGTTTGAAGAAACCATCTGCATAGACTGCGGTTGGTGTGATTCATCAGATTTTTTTTTTTTTTTTTAGTACTTCACATTATTCTCAAATGTATGAAGGAGGTATCAGGGCCACACAATCAATACAAAATGAATAAAGTCGTACGTTGACGAGAACAACCTTGTAGTATAACAAGATAAAAGCTGTGTATTTTATCAGATCTAACTTACAGTATTATCAGCATAACATAAGCGTGGTGAAATCGATGACTGTTGAAGATCTCGGTCAAGTTTGACGTTTTAACTTTCACGAACAATAAAATTTTTTTGTTTTCATTCGGTTTCCTCGTTTAACTCCGGTCACTTCAGCGGACAGCTGATGTCAACAGGTTGCAGGGTGCGTGAAAGGGTTAAAGGTGATACATATTTTTTTTTTGCGGGGTGCTTTGGAAGAGCGACATGGACCGAGATGGCTTTTTTTTTTTTTTTTTTGGGATTGTTTGATCATCAGTCTTTAAATAATTATAACCTAAGTCTGTAAAACTCATGACCCCCCCCAACCCCCCCTCAAAGAAATATCCTTTTATTCTGATCATATTGAGATTCAATATACGTCTGCGTGGCCCTAATACTTGTTCATATGAATGAAAGGAAAAAAAAAACACTCAAAGGCATGTTCACTGATGGTCTTTTTGTCAAGTTTCAGATGATACCCATAAAAAGATGGGGGGGGGGCACTCAAATACACACCTCAAAACTACCTGTCAAACCTGAACAAACCTCTTCATGTCACCTCGTACCGTCATTCCCATGATTTTTATTTATTTTAATTTTTTTAATTGAATGAATGTATTGTCGAAAAAGCACGTGTATAGGTGGTGGCATTTATTGTGCAAAGATTTGAGCGTCGTATTTTGATATGCGTGCATTCTGACTATTGCTGAAGCCGACTTAGCGGGTCTAGCATGTCTGGCTCCAAAGTTTTCTTTGGAGCAGCTTGTCTTTAAAATGACTTGCTAACAATGATTTGATTTTTTTTTTTTTTGAAAGAAACTGGTTGTGTCAGGAATTAAAATGGCCACTTCACAATTTCATCCAGATAAAGTATTAGCAGTTGTACTCGAAATACATACATAGAAATTTAGCGAAAAAAATAAATACACACACACAAAAAAAAAAAAGTAAAGCAGCGTATACTTATAATAGTTTGGCATGAGGTCATTGGATATGTTCGTAAGAATAATGATGAATACCCAATGACCTGTGATTGTATTATTTTGACGGGATACCCGATAAAACCCAAGGGCGTCAGCAAATGATTCCAACAAAATTGCTAGCATGGACAATATTATCTTTGTATGAATCTGAAGCTATATATAGATTCATCTAAAAAAAATCACAGCTGGGAAGCGTGTATCATGCAAATGTACAGACGCTTGTTTCGTCTAGATTTCAGCTAACGCAAGACACGGATGGATACTGTGATTCGAAACGCACAACGTGGAAACCTTTCACCTCCATATTTGCGGTCTTGTCCTGTTTGCTTCAGATGATCGTTTAATTTCCCATTTCCACCCGCCATTGTGTGACGGCAGTGTTACTGGTGAGGACGTGTCAGCTGAAATCAATCAACTCGAAGTTTTTGTTTTTTTTGTTCCATTATTGTTCAAGTGAGTGGGAACGCTTAAAAACCATTACAAAATCTCAATGTTATTTATTCCACGTGACAATTTGACATTTTGGTACAGATTTTAGCAATGATCATGGGAGTTGACTCACTTGATTTGCTTTCCCGGGGCCATATAAAATGATGTAGCGGGCCGGATCTGGCCCCCGGGCCTTGGGTTTGACACATGTGGCCTTGGGTTTTTTTGGTCAGGGCTTGGTTGACCATTCAGTTTCTTCCACACTGAGATGACTTAATCATTGCCTTAAAGGGCCTTTCCGTCTTGCTTCCGAGTCATCCAGAAACAGAAAATGGCTGTCAGGAAATTGTTCCAACAAAGCTGAAAGTACAAAATCGTTCAAACGCCTCCTCGACTCTCTCAATAATTTTGTCAATGGCATGCATTCTGCTCGTGTGTATTCATTAAATATAAAATAAGCGTGAAATGACTTCATAAAATTATTGATAAAAACTGCAATGTGTTTGGAAGTAAAAGCAAGCTCAAGTACGCTCTCTCTCACCTTCGGCCCAAAATGGCGTCTGTATGAAATTTCATTGCTAATCAAAATTTGGATTTGTTGTTGTTTTTTTTAATCAACAATGAAAACCATTACAAAGATTTTCCAGATTTTGGTTTTAAGATTGACTTCTCTTTCCACATTTCGACTCTCAACTATTTATTTTACAAGCATTTTAGGAAACCAGCTGAGAAACATTTCCGAAGTCCTCTCATCCGTTTATTATTTCCGAATTCTCAAAGCCACACCCTCAAGCATACGCCTCCACACACAGGCAGCGTTTTTCATCCGATTAGTTCACACACTGAATATGCTGTGGCGCCGCCTTACTTCTGATTCCGCAACGCATCGGCGGGTGTTCCGCGGTTTCCCGTAAAGATGCACTGTTTTTGCTCTTAATGACGTGACTGTCTTTTGATTTCTACAAACTGGAAAAGTCTCGTTTAGCAGTAAAGGTGCGAAGACTTTGAGAGTTGGCCTTTGAGCATCTTCGTCACATACGACAAAATTGATGATTGTGATAATTACCTTGGAGGTGAATGGCAATCATTCTGATATTTTTTTGTGGTCCATACAGTAAAGAAAAGTAATCTGATAGCACTTCACGATGACAATTGTCTTTTTTTTTTTTTTTTTTAAAACGACATTAGCATTCAGGGTGTTGGGATCTGTTTCCTCGACTTTGTTTTTTTGGTTTTAATTTTTTTTTTTTTAAATTGTGGTCACGTTGGTGTCTAACACTGAAGTTGCCAAAAAAAAGCTTTTTTTTTTTTTTTTCTTTGCCAGGTTTAACCAAGCTCCATTTTTTTGATGTCCTCGGTACATGGGCAAATATATGATAGTTCATATTGGCATTTCTCGTGGCTTTTCCACTCCAAAGGTGAAATGGGAAAAAACAAAATCAACCTTATTTATTTTTCTTTTATAGATGCCTCAAATTTATCCCCCCCAAAAATGACAAATTGTGGTTGAATGGATAGGCTGTGAATATCAAGTATACAAATGTTTACATAAATAGTTGTCGACTGTGACAACCGATTTTTTTGCCATGTAAAATTTTGCATGATTAGATTTGAGATTGTTTTTTTTTTTTTTTTCAATTTTATGATGTGAAGTGACAAACAATGGGTTTTCTTACCTTCTATTTATGGGATGGGTCAGCGTGGTTCAATAGGTGGCTTCCTCCCCACATACAGTATGCATGCCTTAGAACTTGCAGAGGCCATAGTTCACATCCAAGTGAACTGAGTGTATGCAGGGGCCGTGGCCCCAACCCAAGTCACCAGTGCAACTTTTTCACACTGATCTACCTGTGAAATGACTCATACCTCTCATAACTGGTCAATGACTATATCAACAAACCGCATCAGGTGTTTTTTCTACGTTTTTTTTTTTTTTTTTTAACTCTTTGGACTATTGTTCACTAGCAAGTTTTTTGGTGCATCGTTTCATGTAATAACTTGTAGTTGAAATGGTTTTCATTTGGATAGTTTGTCCTCTTGTCTATTTTTTAAAAAATGCTGTAATGTGCTTACTCTCGACAAGTATCGAATATTTTTTTATGCTCAATTCTGTCAGAATTTGACATTCTGTAAATATATGGTGAAAACCTCTCTTCAATTCATTTTAATTGGCAGTGTCATATAAATTACAGTACTGTACCTTTTTTGTCTGTATGCCATTTCGCTTGATGAAATAAACATGCGTATCACTGCTGTTTTTACAAATCTTAACACACGTGTCCGTCATTAACTGAAGTTTTCACTCAAGGCATTTTTTGAGAAAGCACCATAAGCAGGAATAAAGAATTGAATCCATTCTGGTCTTTTTGCTCTCTCTCTCTCTCTCTCTCTCTCTCTCTCTCTCTCTCTCTCTCTCTCTATATATATATATATAAGATATCCATCCATTTTCTGATCACTTTATCCTCACAAGGGTCACAGGGCGTGTTGGAGCCTCTCCCAGCTGTCTTCGGGCAGTAGGCGGGGTACATACACCTTGAACTGGCTGCCAGCTAATCGCAGGGCACACACAGATGAACAACCATCCGCGCTCACACTCACACCTAGGGACAATTTAGAGTGTTCCATGAGCCTGCCATACATGTTTTTGGAAATTGGAGTACCCGGAGAAAACCCAACCAGGCACGGGGAGAACATGCAAACTCCACACAGGAAGGCCGGAGCCGGAATTGAACTCACGACCTCTGCACTGTGAGGCGTGCGTGCTAACCGGATATGCTAACCAGTCGCCCACCGTGGCACAAGTAAGCAGACTCCTCACATTGTGAAGAGTTGCCCGGATCCGTATTTTCCACAGGAGGGCATTCCCAGCGGGTGGACCAAGTGCACCTCTCGGCATGGAAACTACCATGAGGTGACACTGGAATTAAGATTTTAAAAATCAAAATGAAATGACACCCTGATGAGTTTCATTTCATTTTTTTTTTTAAATAACAAACAAAAAAAAAAAACATCAGTCAACTGAAACATGAATTTATAAAAACCTCACGGACGTCCGTCCCGGAACTACGCCCATTTTTGGGAAGGAAGACGAGAAGTTTTTTTTTAAAAAAAACGACGGATTAAGCAAGGGTGGAAGTGGGTTTCCGTCTGCCCTTTAAACGTCCTTAACCTGACAGAAAATGTGGTGTCGGGAAGTAAAATAAGGCCAGAGTGTAGCTGTCGCTCTATTTTCTTAACAGGCTCGAGTAGTTCATCTCAACCGTATTTTTTAACAACACCGCCATCTAGTGGACAGTCACAGAACATAACGGCGGACACCCATTTCACTTCGGATCAACGGTGAAGAAAACTGTTGGATGTTCCTCGGTACCCGCCCACCGTGCTGATGGCTAGGATTTATAAAAGCAAAGTTTTTATCATTATTTTATGTTGTCATAGTAACTAACAGTAATGTTTAGTTGCTTATCACAAAGACATTAAAAATATAAGGAAACAGTAATGCCATTTTTATTTGATTAATGGACAGTCAGATCAGATGTTGATGTGAGCATTAAGTAATGATAAACAACATAAATTTGGGTGACTACCGATTGCAGTTTTGGCACATTAGGCGACGTTTAGATTCCTACGTCACAGGTTTAGACTGTCATGTCGCATGACTGTACAGCAAGTGAGAAAGGACATATTACTGCTCAACTGCTCATCTGTCATGTCTTGTGTTCCGACTCCATGGTATCCCGATGCACATTCTGTCAGATTGGGGGCCTCAATTTGGGTCTCAAGTGTAGAAAATATTTTGCAGATCCACAGCCAGCCTCCCTTCATGATAAGACCAGCAATCAAGTCCAAGTGAGAGGGTTCAACCAAGAGCTGGAGACGGCTCTCCGTTGTGTCTCCCTCCATCAACCGGCATCATGGGCCTGTCAGCTTCTATGGGTTGAATACGCTCTCCATGCGGGATCTGCATCTGGCGAGCAGCTCACGCAAGTTAGGGCCTCGATTCATCGGGCTGTTTGAGGTGGAGGCGATTGTGAACCCGGTTGATGTCAAACTCCGCCTCCCACCTACTCTCAAGGTCCATCCATGTGTCGCTGCGCAAGCCTGTGGAGTTCAGTTCCCTGTGTGTCAATGTATGCTTCAAACTATTGTAGAACGACCGGGTGTCCACCCTCGGTCGCACGAATGGAACTGTAGGAAGTGGGAATGGTGTGGTGTCCTGTGTGTAGATTAAACTGTTGTGGAAATGAGGCTTGGATCTTGTGTTCTGTGTGTCGACGTACATAAGCAACGAGTAACATTAGCCAACCACGCTGTATGTGGCCGGTCCTTATAAGAAGGGAAGCACAAAAGATTTGGGAGGTGGTGACTTTGACAACAGCACTTGACAAGAATAAAGTCTTTATTCAAGAAAGAAAAAAAAATAGCTGTGTCAAACGGAATTCTTCAACCAAACCCAGCAATGGCTCAGCAGACTCTGGAGCAATGCTGTGACAGACCCCGCTTCTCAAAAAAAAAAAAAAAAAATACACAACACTTATCATTTGTAGTTATATGAATTGATCACTACTTGGACCGTATTTCCAAATATAAACACATGGGTCACAAACCTCACTCTGAAGCACTCACAGACAAATACGCGTGAGATTTACTGTCATCAACATAAGTAGACAAAAGTCTGCGTTTTTGCAAAAATCATAATGAGATCACTTTTTTCGAACCGTGCTTTGAAAAATGTTGACTCATCCAAAGCAACATTTACCACAGTGGCCATCACACAACAGATACTTCCCAAACACAGAAAGAAACTCTCACTTTTTATTGTTTCTTTTCATTTATACTTACTGCAACTTAAATTAATTATCTCTCTCTATGTATATTAGATATAGATATGCTCTTCCATATTCTAATTACCTTGCTGCTTAACAAACCTCGCTGGCAGCCCACCTACAGCACCTTCACTCTGACTTGAACAGATTATAGATTTCCTGGCAGTCCAGTTCACAGACGTTTGTCGGGTTTTGATCAGACGAGTTCGAAACCTCTTCCTGTCTGCTGCACCGCCGCCTCAGTCTTTAGCATCTCCCACCCCGTCGGCATTAATGGCAAACATGGCTTCCGCCTCTGGCAGGCAAGGTGAGTCGTAGATTTTACAGATTCTCGTTTCTCCTCGGCCTTTTCTCAGATACAGCCTGCAAGGAAAATACATTTGGAGCTTGGGGGACAATCGGATGCATGATGGAACTGTGAAAACGGGGACGTTTCTGTAACCTTTCAAGTTTCCTAAAAGCTTGTCTTTTTCAAGTCGTAAGCAGCCACATACAGTGGGACCTCTATTTTCGGACGTCTCTTCATACGAAATTTTCAAGTTACAAAACCTTTCAACAGGAAAATATTGCCTCTTGTTTTGAAAGAAATTTAAAGATACAAAAGGTAAAAATATTAATAATTTTGGGGGGCGCTTGGAACGGATTAGGGGCATTTACATGGAAAATGTGTCTCTAATTACAAAATTTTCGAGTTCAGAAATTTCTTCCAAAACCAATTCATTTTGTAAGTAGAGGTACCACTGTACCAGCACATTGCTGAATGATCTATCGGAGATTTATTTGTTTATTCCTATTCTTCTTAGGCCTTTGAAGACATTTTCTGGCAGTAAAATAAGTACAATAATAAGTAAAGGTAATTTGTTCTTTTAATTAGAAGTGTGTACAGTTATAGTCGTGAATGTTACAACCATTTGACGCATGACTGTGCTAATGGTAACGGCCTTGTGAGCAGTGTTGTAACGTGTGCTACTGTGCTAATAACGTCTACTTTGGTATTATGCCACAGATACTTACTCTGATGTAATTTTCAGTTTTCACACAGTTTTCACACAGTCAACTTCACTGCGTCGTGACTTATTGTAAGTGTTGACTAACTGGATAGCAGGAGATTAGTTTTAAGAGACCAGAATCATCTTTATCTTTCGTTTTTACATGTAGCTTGAGCGCTTCTGCCTTCCTTGGACTTGGCTTGCATGACAATTGGCAGATCACAACCTCGAGTTTTAAGCCCGTATCTCACTGGACGGCAAACGTTTGTGATTGTTTGCGCCCGTAGCTCCCGTTTGTTTTTCGTCAAGGTTTCGTTACATTTTTCAAAAGGTTGCGAAGGTTTGCAAAAAGTTGTTCCCAAATTCTTTTTACTTGCGGCCAACAGTTTTTATCGACACAAACTTCAACATTTCTTTGCAACGAGAAAAACTGTTTGCAACCTGCAACTGTTAGCAACAAGCGCTATGTGTGCAAACACTCTCAAGCAGTTCCAAGTCAGTGAGATATGGGCTTTAGCTTCAAAACATGAAATAAAAGTGCTCTGGATAATTCTTACAAGTGCATGGATAGGTCACCACACTCAATACAAGACAAACATTTTTTTGCGTTGGAAGTCTGACAAAAACAGAAAGTCGACCCCCGCTAGGGAAATGATGGACTGTGGCAACCCACCAAGAGCAAAAACCCATAAATATATGACGGCCATTATAATATCATATGTATTACCTGGAAAAAAAAAACAAACTTTTGTTATGTATTTAGTAACAGTCCCAAAGTCTTGAATAAGGTTGTTTTCCATGAAAAATGGGTGCTGGATGATAAATAAATTAATAAAAAATATTAGTAGTATGATTAGATGCAACATCTCAACTGAGGGACGAGCTTCTTCTTTTTTTTTTTTTTTTTTAAAAGGAATTAAGATTAGTATCAATGATGGATTCGGTTTTGAAAGGACAAGTTTAAAATAACAAGAAACTATTTTCGGATGATAGTTTGCGGTATAATTACGGTTCAAACGAAAAATAATAATGACCATTCCAAACCATGGCAAGTGTAACTGAACGGCAGTACGTGCAAAGAATCGCTAAAGATGAAATGAACACTGCCACCTACCGCGTAGTGGACGCATGAGCCAAAATGTTGCCGCCAATTGGCTTCTTTGGATCAGCAGAGAACATGGCAGCCCCATCGACCTGTGCGACCACCTGGTTGGTTATTACCACTGCCACGCCAAACTGTTGTGGGCACAGGTTGAGAAAAAGATGACTAAGGGAATACATCATGATTCTATTTTGAGAGCCTCTTTAAGTGTGGCAGGGATGGGTAATTGACAAGCCCGATCAACCCCAAAAACCAGATCGCATAAAGCCCAATACAGCTGAGCTCGCTTTTGAAAGAAATTGGAATTGCACTATTCCCACTGCATAAAAAAAAAAAAAAAAAAAAAAATCTGATGTGTTGCATGTGGGCAAAAGCATCAGAATTGAGCTGCAACGTGAACATAGCCCAAAACTGTTTCTAAAAAAAAAAAAAATGAGGAGAGCAAAATACACAATTTTCAAGGCACCGTAAACAAAGGCCATCAACAACCACCCACCATACCTCGTCAGCCAGCCTGAGCAGCATGCGTAGAAAGCGTCCCAAATGCGCTTGTCTGGCTGACAGTTCACCTCGGCCCGAGTAGTCTGTTCGATACAGAGCTGTGGCACTGTCGACTATTAACAGGGCATACCTATGAACACACACGCGACCAGATAAATGCAAGACCTCGCATTCCATATACACTGCAAGGACCACCAAAAGGCCAATGTTTGTTTTGTGTTTTTTTTTCTTTCTAATTTTCGGTACGGGGATGGAAAAAAGTAAATGGCCCAAAATAATTTACAGTACAACAGCTGACTGTGATATTAGAACAAACGGGGATTTGTTTACTTTGGACACCAGCTCAAATAACAATTTCGAATTTTCGCCAGGTTGGATGAGTGTGTCAAGTTTTGTGAGTTTTCGTGAATGGTCTTTGGCCTGAAATATGCAATTCATTGTGCAAAAAAAGTAACAGCAGTAATAATAAAAATAAGTTCTACAGCACAGGTGTCAAAGTCAAGGCCCGGGGGCCAGATCTGGCCCGCCACATCATTTTATGTGGCCCGCGAAAGTAAATCAAGCAGTTTGATGAAGCCTGCTCAAGTCTGAACCAAAATTTCAAATTGTCACGTGTAATCCACAATAACGGTCATTATTCTTGACTTCTGATTTGAAAACTTGTTATTCATCAATTTGTTGTGTGCTGTGCATGTAATATGTGAAGGTGATTAATCATTTATATGGTTTCCCAAAATTCATAACGGCCCTCCAAGGCAAACCGTAACTACAATGTGGTCCACGACAAAAATGAGTTTGACACCCCTGTTCTACAGAAACAATAGGAACCTCGTAGTGGTCATTGCTCGGGCGCTAATAAAAGGTCCAAAATCTATTTTGAACAATGACTTGAAAAATTGTACAGAGGGCAAAAAAAAAAAAAAAAAAAGTCAAAGGAAAAATTTTTTTTAATCACAATTGTTTTTAATCCAAACTGACCTGGATTCAGCCATCATGGCAGATGCCTGATACAACAGCTGAGTCTGATGATCCGTGTTAAAAGCTCGAGCGTAGGCCACATTGTCCAGAACATCACCGCCCACCAGCCCATATCTAGTGACACAAAAAAACATAACTTGGCAAATGCATCCTTTTGATTTGATGATTTTTATTTATTTATTTATTTTTTACATATTCGGTTGTGAATTATTCAATTTTTTGCAGAGTTCTTGCTCCATGGCTTGCTGCGCCATTGATTTCAAGTCATGAAAACAAAGGGAACACATGCCGTATTTTTCGCCCTCTAAGGCGCTTCGGCGTACAGTGGTACATCTACTTACAAACGTCTCTTTATATGAAATTTTCAAGTTACGAAATGTCTCAAAAGGAAAATATTGCCCCTTGTTCCGAAAGAAATTTCAAGATACGAAAGGTAAAAATACAGTCTGGCCTGCTACTCGCACCTCCGAATTTCCTGAACGGAACAAACTTATAGCTGCTCTGCCACTGGCTATTACCGAGCATCTTCCTGGCATCCCATTGGCTAAGAGGGACCTCTACCGTATGTGTCTGTGTGTGTAGATGAATAAATAGATAGATATTTGTCTATGCAGCATACTCGTCATTCGCCCCTCGGGCCATGAGGCGTTCCGATAGTTTTAAGTAAATGTGAATCACCCAGAAAAAGTGTTCACCAGTCGGGCGATCACTATGCCGATGTGTGCCTTGGACATTTTCGAAGAATTGTTAAAAGCCAGGCTAAAACTACTTGTGAGAGAGAACATCAACTAAAGAGGGCAAAAAACGATAAGGAGGCAGTTAAAAGTTAAATGACCATTTTTATTCTTTACCCTATTCTTTGTTTTTGACATTATGCACAAGTGTCATTTATTATGCAATAATCTAATTGTAACATGTATTTGTTACATATTTTGATGCATTTTTATGCTTTAGAAAACATTTGTCTGAATTTTGAGTAGGGCTTGGAACGGATTAGGGCATTTACAAGGAAAACGCGTCTCTACTTACAAAATTTTCGAGTGAAGAAATTTCTTCCAGAACCATTAATTTCGTAAGTAGAGGTACCAATTAGACTGCAAATTTCCCCAGTGTGGGACAAATAAAGGTTATCTTATCTTATCTTATCTTATCTTATCTTATCTTATCTTACCAGTCATTGTATAAGGTGCACCTTCAATGAATGGCCTATATTAAAACTGCCGTTGCCATTGGCTTGACTGTCTTCGCGACGGTCAGACTAAATAAATGGTTAGCCGAGGTAGAAAAAAAATTCAGACTATTATTTATCAAGTCAAGTCAAATTTATTTACATAGCCCAAAAGTCTCAAAGGCCATCACATGTCCACAGTTAACAAATAATGGCATCCTCTGATTATTTAATGACTGATATCCCTTGAAATAAACACACTCAAATTACTGAAGGAGGGCTTGTTTCACTCTTAGTTGCCATTGTGGAAAACATTTCCCAACTCACCTTTCGGCGACAGCCAAGAGTCTCTCTGGTCTGAAGGTTCCTTCTGTGTCGATGTACATGGCTTTCCCTTCCCCACCCCCTTGATCCATGGGAAGCTGTGGGATGGACAAAGGAAACTACATTTTGTAAATGTTTCAATGATCTGTTACTAGATTGCTTTATTTTCATTTATTTTGAAATGTTGAGGGCCCGCGTGGCAACCACTTATTGCTCTGGAAATGAATGAAACACATTTTTGGGGCTGCCTTATAGAACAGATTTAGTTCATAACCCGAATGGACAAAATTTCTAGGCGTATCCTTGGCGTTGAGGGGGTACGGTTTGGTAGGCTCAGTATTTCATCTCTCGTGTGTGCAATGACCTTGCTTTGGAGTCAGCCAATCCTCCATTAAGCGTCTCCAGTTGGTCCAGAATGCTGCTCTAGCATCCCTTCACTGGCTCCCTATACATTTTAGAGTTCTTTTGAAGATCTTCTTATTTGTTTTCACATCTTTAAATGGCCTCGCCCCAGCTTACCTCTCTGAGGTCCTCCGCACCTGCCCGTTACCCCGAGTCTGCGGACCAGACACTATTTGAGATACCAAGAACTAAGCGGAGGCTCAGAAGGTATCGAGACTCTTCCGTTGCTAGTCCCTCTCTTTGGAATGACCTTCCACTGAACATTCTGCAAGCCCCTTCGCTGCCCATCTTGAAAACTCGTCTTAAAACTCATTTTTATTCTTTGGCTTTTGGCTCAGCACGAGACTTGATTTTTCGTTTTACAGTTTTTGTGCTTTCTCCTGTCTTTGGTATTCTTTTATTGTTTGGATTATTTTTGCTTCCATGTACAGCGCTTTGTATACAGCGGTGGTTGTGCTCTATAAATACGGTTGCGTTAAGTACATTCAAATCTTGGTCGCAGTTTTACCGCTGCAAACCCCATTTTAGACATCTCAAAATTAGCATAACAAATGTACAAGTGGTTAGCACATCTGCCTCACAGGTCTGAGATTCTGGATTTGAATTTTTGTGTTCCAGTGTGAGGTTTGCATGTTCTGACGATTCTTGTGTGGGTGCGAATGCTTGTTTGTCTTATATGTGCCCTGCGATTATGCTGGCAAATAGCCCACAAAGTCAACGGGGATGGGCTCCAGCTCGCCCATGACCTGAGTGAGGTTAAGCGGAGGGATGGACTCAAATCAAGTTGTACATAATGTACGCATGAACAATGGATATTAAAGCACTTGAGTTGAAGTGTCACAGCAAATGGTGTCAAGACGTGTTCATATGATATTGAAATAATTGGATGGTACCTGGCATGTGACAGCAAGCGTATGGCACAGCTGGGTCTTCCCTGTTCGAAACTCCCCAAACATCTCTGTGATGGAACCAGTCTCGATCCCGCCTCCAGAAGAAATAAAAAGTAGTGTCACAATTCTTTTTATTCTATTGTAATATGGAATGCCGTCGCTCCTAGGACTGGGCAATTATGGGGAAAAAAAATGTGTTTAAATACACAATTTGTTTATTTTTGTTGTGCTTAGTTTTACAGTTAAGTCCAACCGGGGCGTCATTAAATAGCTAAAAACATGCTAACTTTTGCACTGGTGCGAACTAATTTTCAGTTGGAAACACCAACACGGGAAAAAGAAATAATGATACCAAAGCAAAAAACTACATCAGTCAAAAGCAGTTAAATAATAGCTGATATCTAACCAACTTTGAATTTGTTTTATTTCTATTAGCTCCACAAAATACGACGAGTAGACTTATTAAAATGCCATTTATGGACTAGAAAAATGCATTTTGAACATTTTTACTTGAGAATGGAAGCCTAGTGGCTTTATTCGGTATTGTAAGTGACTAGATCGGGTGACTAGATCGCCCGAGTGGCTCCTTGGAGCTTTTTCAAATATGTTTGCAAAACGAAAAAGATGGGGGCGGGAAATAGATTTTTTGTTATAATATGCTTTCTGTAGGAGGACAAACATGACACAAACATTCTCCACGTTTTCCAATGCTGTAAAAATGTGTGGAATAAATATGGAATTTCAAAATTTCTTTCAACGAGATCTGTGTCATACCCTGCGACATGCGTTTTTATTAGCAGGACGTGATGCCAGGCAGGTGGCTGTTATTTAAAACATACATGGCAATGGCGAGTGATGAAAAAAGCGGAAGAGGCGTGGCCTGGACTGGGGCGTGGCCTGGACGGGGGCGTGGTTACTTACAAAAGTGGCACTAAACATGCTGAAGATGAAGTGTATTAAATTTACACAGTTTGAAAATTGAACAGAAAAAAAATCCCAAGATCGCCACTATTCTTTCAAGTGAAAATTTGTGCAATTTTGCCTATGCATTCCTGGTGAGCACTCCAAATTTGCTGCTCAAAATCAAAACTAAAAAAGTAAACACATTCATTGCCATATTTAAGATTTGCTCATGACTTGTATTCATAAAGTGTTGTGTAAATGTGATAAAAAGCTGTTGATTCTTACCTCATACAGTAACTAAGTTTGTTTGAAAAATGCCGATCCCAAAGAATAATTGCTCCGTCGAATGGCGATTTTGTCGGCATGTTTTTTCACTTTTGTTGCATGATCTGTCAGTGCCACGCATCCACGGGAGCCATAGTTAATTAAGTCACTACAATACACACAATAAGC